GTAAAATGTAAATATTTCGAATTATAAAATAGATATTTTACCTAACAGCACAATAAAAGGTCTATTTTCTATAGCTGAAATAATTTATAAATATTTTTCTGGAACTTAAAGTGAAATAAGTATATGTTTGATATTTGATGAAAGTAAGAAAGAAAGTTCTAGTGCAGTCTATATAATGCAGAGGAATAAAAAACATTTAATTATTTTCGTATTAAAGATTTTACGATTTTGTTCCTATTAAATATACATCTTTACGACAATTTGTGTACGATGGCTTTAATGTGTACTATTACGCATTGTACATCCAATTGAATTATGTTCTAAATAATATTTTTATACACGAGAAAAAAAATATATATATACATGTGTAATAACAGTATTAACCAACAGCAGTCAAACTGAAAATAATTTTTGTTAATTCAATGACAGTATTAATTAAACAAATACGCCATGCTCTCGTTTTAATAAAATGCTATTTGTGTCATTAATTAATATTGTCATTAAATTATTAAGCTAACTGAAAATTATTTTCAATTAGATTGCTATTGGCTAATGCTGTATTAATATATCATTTTTTCTATATAGGAACGAAGAATTATTATTTTACAAATTAATTTACAAAATTTTACAATAAAAATATAAGAACTGTATATAAACATATATTTATTTACACGTGACGAAGAAAAAGTATGGAACAGCTGTTTCAGAATGATCGCAATGAATCGCTAAACATATAAGAATGTTTGGCGTACAAGTCATACGTGTGACAGAAATGATTGCTGAGATTAAATACGAGAAAAAGTAGAGAAATTCTCGACTTTTTTCCAGTATAAACGATCGTTGCGAATATTTAAAGTGAAATGTGTTATTTAAAGTGAAAAGTGGAATAAAAACGACATTTCTACAAATACAATTATTAAATAACACTTATAAAAGAAAAGTAAGAGAGATTCTCTCTGTTCGTCGCGCATGAGTGAATCATCAAAAGTAAAACATGTAAATAGCATTCCATCTTGAGTGACTTGTGAGAATGTCGGATAATTTCGCCGTAAATGCGAGTGCATTTATATTTAATCGCGGACGATCTACTCGTCACACAGACTCGGCATAATGCAACATTCTATCCTATATCTAATAGCTGTCATATCAGCTTCACAACTTTGGACCAAGGGCAACCGACGTCGTTTTATAACGTGGACATTGAAGGAAAATTATCGAGGATACAAGACATTCGTCATCATTTATCTCTAATTTATAAAACAACTTGCGCTCTCTCTCTCTCTCTCTCATTTTCTATGATAGATATTAATATATCTCCCACGCAGGGCATTACAGTTTAAACGCTGAGATTATTATAGAGGATGCTCCGAAATCGTGAAAAATAAAAGACTATTTTAACTACAGGATATCGATAATTGCATCAAGTTTATGTTAAACAACCTATACTTTGTGTCAAAGGTTAAAATAAAATTCCATTTTTTTAAATATAATATATTTATATATTTACCGAAAAATACGTATAATACGAAAAATATTTACATTAAAATTACACACATATATTAAACATATTATACGTATGTATTAAAATATATGCATCTCTTTTATCCTCCTGTCAAATGTATGGCACATAAAATTATACATAGAATTCTACTATGAAATCTAAAATTACAGATTTTGTTTAAAATTGGGTTTTAAAGATAAAAAAAAAAAAGATTCACACAAAGATATATAAAAATGTTTTCTTTTTCAACTATTAACTCCCATTTGAAGCGTCAATCGTCGAGATAATATTAATAAGTAGTCTGGCATTTCCCGGATACGAAGTTTCAAGGACCAATCGCCAAAGGATTAATCAGTAAATACACGTGCGACTTTAATTGCAGCGGTAGTCCTCAACAAAAAATTGTAAATCATGGATCGACGTGGATCGTGTGTTGCGCGACCGCGAAAATACACGATTGCCGCCGATAAGCAAGACACTGACACGACGTGCAGTCAGGATGCACTTGTGCACGCGCGGTTTCCTAACGTCGAAATGAACCCGGTGGGAGTCGCGCAATTATCATTTTAAATGATACCACTATTGCGAGGAGTTACTGCGAACGTGTTTACCGATTATGTAAGCTTCGCGCGACATTGCCAGGCGCCGCGCCGCACCGCGTCGGCAATGAAAAAGCGCATTTCCGAGGACCATAAGTAAGCAGGAGATCGAGTTTGAAATGAGATAAAAATTACAGAAGTGAGCAAAATCATTAGAATATTTATAATTTCATTGGTCAATATATCTTATATAGTTTTGTTCACTTTTGTCGATTCAAGATACACACTCGATCCTGAAACGATATGATATAAATTCGATTAATCACATTACAATGGATTAGTACACATTAAAGGCTGTTTTTTTATAATATACCTAAATAAAGTGGCATAATATAATTAACTTTGACAATGAAAATAATACATATATATATATATATATGTATATATTCCATTAAAAATATAATAATATTATTAATAGGTATTTAATCGTTTAAGATCCGGTTTTTCATTATCTGGTCAACTTGTGGTTTAGTAGATAACTTTATTTAACTTGACGAGAATGTAAAAATAATGTTTATCTAACTATAATTAACTTTCTAACTGTGTTTAGGGTTAAATATATAAATATATCGTAAAACTCGTTATTTTTGTTGACAATATTATCATGAGAACTTTTGAAAAACACTCGTTTTAAATCAACGGTTTTGTAGTGGTAACTTCGAAAATTATATATTACAAAATTATCACGTTAAGAAAATTGTAAGAAAAATGTCTGATTGGATTAACTGGAGTTCTGATTGAAAATGTACAAATAAAAAATTTCTGTTTAAATCTACTGTCGAATTCTAAGATAATCGGATAATTCTTGAGATAACCGGAATTCTGATTATTGATATAATCTGAATTTTCTGGTTTGTTCATTTTCGACCAGACATTTTTCTCAGTTTATTGATTAATCATAGATAGAAAAAAATAATTTTTACATTATTATTTTAAGTTTAATCACAAGTTAACCAGCAAATGAAGAACTGGACCTAAAATATTTATATGCTTTACTAATTTCACGTATAGTCGTTTTCAGTACGCACTAATCTAATAAAATTGTAAAATGCAACTCTGAGAAAAACGTCTGTTTTAAACTAATTAAAATTTTGATTGAAAATGAACGAATCAGATCGAATTTTTTTATTCGTCCAATCATTTTTTCAATCATTTTTCTCAGTGAAGTGACTGAATTCGATAATAAACAAAGGATGTGATCTATTTAATACTGCAAATGTTTCGAAATCCTTTGATTAGTCAGTTGATTGGTAACATTTTTTCTTCTGATTAGTCAATGAAGCATTTGTAGCGCCAAATGGATCATCACACCTGAAGTCGACTGTTATGTCATTTACAATTAAAACTGCGCCATCCTCGTGTCATCGCGCAGTTACATATACCTGCCAAGGATAATTTTAATAAACATAACAGTTGACCGACAGTTTGTTTATCGTGTACACTTGACCGAAAGTGTTTTGCTCCGTTTTCTTCTACGAGATGTGCCGGCAGAAAAAAATTGCTAGAAAATTATCTTTTTTTTTTATGTTTTCTCGTCGCTAATCGAAATTCACTTGGACACGAATCTAGTCGTCGTTACCATTCGTTGTTCTTCGAACCTTTTAATTTTACAACATTGATGAGCTTGAATTTGTAAAATCACTCATCAATATTGCAGCAACGTCGCGTGCAATTCTATGCAAATGACAGAATATCCGATTGATCGCGACGAAGAAACCTCGCGGAAACATTTCCATGTCACGAGACTCACGAGTCAAGCAAACGAAACGCGATTGTACACATTGACGTATGCTTTTCTTATCTCCCTCATAAATCGTACGAATTTTTCATATCGACAGAGAAATTACGACTTCTAAATTCTACTTTCTGAATAGTGATTTCCTTTAAAGGTAGCTTCAGACAATATGATCAATGTACACCAACGTTAACAAGTATTGAAATATTACACATGACATGCACAACAGGCAATAATTAATATTTCAACAATTTTTTTTCCTAATACAAATTAAATATATATAATTAAATATTTACTTAGTCTTCGTCAGTTTAGAATAATCACAATATTTTCTTCATTTGATTAATATCTAATGACGAAATTCAAAAGAGTGTCTATATTAAAGTGTTACGTAGTCGTTAAGAATTATTATTAAAAGAAGATAGAATTATAATTAAAAAATATCTTGAAACTAACGTGGTTCTAATATTAACACATATAAAAAATAAGAGCATAAAAAACCACAGCACAAGTTATAGTTTGTGATATATAATTATTATTACATTAATTAAATATAACACATAAATTAATGTTTTAATTAATGTAATAATAATTATATATCACAAACTATAACTTGTGCTGTGGTTTTTTATGCTCTTATTTTTTATATGTGTTAGAATTATAATTATTAGAAAAACTAAGTAAATCGAAATGTATTTAATTTGTATTTAAGAAAAAAATTGTTGACATTTTATAGATCATTAAGTATTGAAATTTGCTCTGCAGTCTTACGAGTCTAATTACGTTATAAATTTATGATATGCATAATTATTCAAATAAATGTAGGCCAATATTTAATGAATGTGTAAAATTGCCATACACTGGCTATGTTGTCTGGAGCTTAATTCAAACAAGAGTCGAAGAGATTTAATTGCGAGGCACGATGCAATTGTCACGCGGTGGTGACGTGAAACGTTAACCCCTCCAACGTTGGCGAAGTTAGCGGAGTATCGCGGCGTCTAGTCGAGAAACACGTCAAGGAGGTTATGGTCAACTCCGATAACCTGCAAATTCTTTTGTTAATTTCGCGAGGACGAAGGAGACTCGCTCGCGCTTGAGAAAAGCGATCTGTTAAAAAAAGAGAGAGGGACATCACGCAAGAGAGATACACACAGCGTGGACTTACCTTCTCTTTCGCTCTGCCCGCGTGTTTCTGTACTGTTTTCGCGATTAACGCGCCCTTGCTCTCAGCCATGATGTTCCCGTAGCGTCGGTTGCGGATGCAGGAGAGGCGAAGCACTTAAAAAACTTTCTCAACTCTCTCAACTTGTCGACGCAACGATGGCTCGCAGCTTGACGTAGGAAGGAGGAAGCCGAAGCAGCGACACACCAACTCACGGGACCAGAACGCTCGTGTCGAGGCGCGGAGAGGAACTGAACTGACTGAACAGACTGAACTCCTCTGAAGTCACCGAAGAGCGCGCGGCGCACGGGCCACGGGACAGTCCGGGACAGGATGGCGGCGCGAATCTGTCGATCTGTGCCGCCATGTTGCCGGCGGCCATGTTGCCGCGCACCAACTGTCGCGCAGGCGCCGCAGAGTCGCCGGCAGCCATATTGGCGCGCGCAAAATCGTTTCGTTTCAATCTGCATGGAAATTTAGACCCGTATTAACCGTTATAATCGATTCTTATATTTAAGACTTAAATACAATCTTAAGATGTCACGAATCAATTAGAAGCTAATACTCATAGTCTGTTCTTATTACAAGACTGTTTTAAATAATGTCTTGAGATGCTAATGTGGTCCTCTAATTGGTTCGTGACTTCTTGAAACTGTACTTAAGAAAATCTTCAATATAAAAATCAATATAAAATTCAATATAAAAACTATCAATAGCCCTAGCCAGAGTGCTGTATTATCATCTTAAGACATTACTTGAGACGTTTTAAAATAAGAATGGATTATGACCGGTATTTATAGTTGATTCTTATATTTGAGATTATCTTAAGTAGTTTTAGGACTATGGCACACAAAAAACTTAAGACAGTAAGATGTAAGCAGTAAGAAATTCAATATGTTGGATTGGCTACTACTTACGTTGTGGCCTTATGGATTCTATTGTGATTGGTTAATTCGCTTACTATTCACATTTTACTGTGTTTTTTTGTGTTTTTCCATAGCCCTTAAGATGTCGTAAGCCAGGGATCGGTTTCATAGTTGATTCTTACATAGATCGTATTAAATAAATCTTAAAATGTTACGAACCAATCAGAGAACCACATCAGCATCTTAGATTTCGAAGACATTAATTGAGATGGTTTTAAAAACGGACTATAAATAAACACTACCCTGTGAATACCGGCGGTACAATTTTTCATCGCACTCGAAAATTCTTTGATCCAATTGCAATCTTTTCCAAGTATATTATGTTCCAATTGTCAAATCTAACTCTATGTCTAAAATAAAAGAATATCGCTCTCTTCAAAAACAACAAAAATAAAAACGTGATTATCAAGTAATTAATATAAATGAATTAACACCAATGTGCCGCTTGAATTGCGAAAATGTTAATTTGGTAATTCTATACTGATTTTCAGTTAGTAAAAAATTATTTTAGAATTACACACTTGATCGTTACAATTGTTTGTATTATATTCATGTAGTTTCAATATTCTGTACTGTATAGCTAATAAAAAAGAAAAAAAATTAAAGTGATTAGCGGTACTATTAGCAATAATGAAGTGAACATTATCCATCATTTATCAAAAGTAAATTAACTAAGCTTCATAAAAAATAAAGTGTATCGGGCAATAAGAGCATCAACATAACGCGGAAATTGATGCGCAATAAAATATAATTATCAAATAATATTTACATAATATAAAGATGTACAATGATTGTCGATACAATTTTATTTGGACGTTTCGATTTTTTTCAAACCACCTTCAGCAAATCATTGTACATCTTTATATTATGTAAATATTGTTTGATAATTGTATTTTATTGCGCACCAATTCCCGTGTTGCATTGATGTTCTCATTGCCCGATACACTCTATTATAGTTTTTAATTTCGAGAGTTCCGATTAATATTTAAATTTTACATTCATAAAAAATCGTTACAACTCAAAAATAGTAATTAGTAAAAAAAATCAATTTTTTAAGGGTTGTGAAAGAAAAATGACAAGTGATATTTGACCATGTTAAAAGTATATCACTTTTGTCGATATTATTTGATTAATCAATAATTTTTCGTCAAGATAGAAAATAATTTTTCCCCTTTTTTTGAGAAACTTACTTAGTTTTTTAGTTGTGTTATTTTTGAAAGGAGCGATATGCTGTTTTTTGAATATTCGGCAACAAACATTATTTTCGCTCGAATTTTCCAATCTATTCAAACATCTGTTGGCTTTATTTTATTTGAAATTAGAATATCTATCGATCTGCAATTTGTTGGAATTTTTCATCCGAAACTTCAGCCTTAATCCTAGCGATGTATGTACTTCCAGACGGATACTCGCATCTGTAAAATGAAAGACCAATTAGAGACAAAAAGTAAACAGGAACTTGTTTGATCTAGATTTCTAAGTTTCAAGGAATATAACTAGAAATAATAAGTCTACGCGAGAAAATCTATGTTGTACGTACTTTATAGGATACATTGCTAAATTTAGAAGCAATAAAGTATAATTATAATTGGAAACAAATTACAGATCAATTATGAAATATTTTTCCTTAAAATATCGTATCTTTAGTTATATATACTTTCACTTATATCTATATATATTCGATTGATACAGCGAGTTCAAGGCTCGTAGTTGAGATAATCGGCGAGTTCGAATAAATATATAAAAGATATTTCCTGAAAAATTAATTATCTAAAAATAACTTATAAGTAATATAATGAAAAAAAAAACAAAGACATTTGTATTAATAACGCCGAAAGCGCAGTAAAAAAAACAAGTGCAAAAATTAGGTTCACTTGTCAATACATATCGGATACACCATCGTTGATTTGTAAATGGTTTTATTAATAAATTATCTTTTCTTATTTTGTGTAATGAGGATTGCTCGAAATAAACAAACGTTATGATAAAAATCCATTTTAACAAAACGGAACAGACAGACAATACACAGATGTAATATATCTGGTAATAGAAGGTGATAGATAAATTTTCTTTTTCCCTTACTTAAATGGTCTATCCAAAATCGCAATTGACAAAAGTGTGTTACGTGTGTATGTGTGTGTATGTATGTATGTATGTGTTTACACATGTGTCGCGGGGCGCGCGGAATGTGTTTTCAATTATTTATAATTTAAATTCTTAATTATATTTATAATTTAACGCTTAATAAACGCTTCCGCGCGAGCCGCAATTACAAATTGCAGATTGGAAATTTACAGATTTGGACCTGTACATGTTCACATATACTCATTGTACCTAATATAAATTTGCTTTTAGTCTTGGAAAAATTGGATAAGGCCATAACCAAACTGGCGACAAGGAGGCGCCAGGTCCTCTCGATACTACCGCATAATTATTTTTTTTATTCTTTTTTTCTTATAAAACCGATCGTCTCTCTCTCTCTCTCTCTCTCTCTCTCTCTCTCTCCTCATTTTTTCACTCGCCACTGTACTCCCATCCATTCTTACACGATTACGTAGTTAATTGGTTGTCCCTGTCCCAGTCTACTTATCGTAGTCTCACCATTAACTACATCGTCTGATTCATCCTGCGAGTTCCTTTATCTTGCGCCTATCTTATTAAATGTGTCTCTTTTTCACATTTTTTTTTGTTCTTGCCCTAAATCTAATTTTGCGTTATGAGATCTGTTCTTTATTCCTGTAATCTCTGAACTGGTGCACACGGTACAATAAGTTGACGTGAAACAAATTTTTGTTTTTTGACATTTGTTTCACTTCAACTTATTGCAGTGTGTGCACTAGTTCAGAGAATGCAGGAATAAAAAACAGATCTTTTGACTTTAGTACAATTTAAAAGTGCGAAAGCGCAAGTGTAAATATTTTGTTTCTTAAAATCATACTCGTAATTTTTAATGTTAATCATAATATATTGATGAATCTTCATTATTTCTAAACTTCGCACTTTATTATTCATCACGAAATGTATCAGCGCAATGGTAACTTCAGAGACAGAAATTAAAGGTTAATAACTTGACGCACACGATGTTGACTTTTGTTTCCTTAGTAATTCGTTCCAAAGACTGAGGCCTCTACTACTGTAGGTTATAAAATATTATATAGAAATTAATCACATAATCAACATAATTTATGCTTTGGCATATACAAGATGTCCTAGAATTACCGTATCTTCCTTCGATTAGAAATAATACATATTTAATCTTTTCATCTTAATGGAAATTTATTATTCGTCACAAATTCTCCTATTTTAGTATCATCATATCAAACACTTGGAGTCAAATCATATTAAATTTCCATTAGAAAAAACTTTTGTTTAAAATAAAACAAAAATATTTCTTCATAATTTCCTGTTTCTCTTTTTTCTATATTTTCTGTCAAAAAATATTAACTTCATATTTATAGAACGTATATAATTGTGTACAGATAAAAGAAAATACGATAAATCTGTGATGCCTTATATACATACATATAAAAAAATAGACAAAAAAAGAATAGAATTATACAGCTGTACAATTGTCTTCAAAAGTGAGAGAATAATCAAGTTGATTTTTTTACGTTATATTAGAGCACAACATTTCCGCAATGCCCGAGAGTAAATAACAATAATCTTAACAGCCATGCGCCGGGCGGCCGATTGCCGTTGTACATAGAATATCTGGAACTTAAAACTTATTAGAAAAAAGTCTAAGTTAAGATAACACCGGGTCCGCGTTTACGTGCAACGCTCGACACGTTGGTCGAGGTGTATCGGAGATTTTTGTGTCCCACACATCTGGATATAAACGATCTAATTCTCGCTCTTCTGTTATCGGAATCACGCGATTGAAAACAATAATATAAATATTACGATATTTTCTATTCGCTATCCGTTTCTCATTAATATCGGAGATCTCCGTAGTGTAGAACGTTCTCGCGGAGAACGTGCATAATTCGCTATCATTCACAGCGATTGTTCTGCATTGTTTTTTTTTTGTTTTTTGCTTTAACGCGTATTTTTTCCCCAATCCCCATCCCATCCTCGTCAGATATATACGCTCACGTATATGAGTAACATATATTTCTCTCTTTATTTTCTGTCCCAAAAATCACAGAGGCATATAATGCACCTCGATGTATGGTGTAAACCTGTACAAAAGTTGTTCCTCATTTACTCTATACTTACTCACGGTACAATAATAATGTATTTAAAATGTAACTTATGTAACCTTATTACTGATTAACGATGACCGCATTCCAGCGTGACCAGCCTTTGGCCGACTGGAGCTAACAGACAAGATGCTCCTTCGAGTGTAAAACTCCACTACCTCCCGCAATCTATTTTCGCCTCTTTCGCACGCTCTCTCTCTCTCTCTCTCTCTCTCTCTCTCTCTCTCTCACTCTCGCCCTTTTTCTCTTTCTCTCAAGCTTTCTCTCCACGATCTTCTTTTCACTTTATGCAACACCACTAATACTCTCTAACTCTATATACTCTATATAAAATATCGTTAGTATAACTAAAACTGTGCTGTGTCCAGCTGGAATGCAGCCCTATTTTTATGCCATCATTATCCTTCCTAATTTTTCTCACGCCTTCCACATCCATTCACATTCCGTATCCTCTACCGTACGATAAATCTTTTGTTGTTACACAGACAATTTCCTCGCAGTCAATGATTTACTGATAAATTCATATCACTAACTGTAGTCTGTCATTGGTCGGTCGATTAGTTTGATTCCCAGCTGTTCACTCGGCGTCGCAATTATTGTTATTATTTATATGAATTTTACACTCATTCAACAATATCAGAGACAGCCCTCCATCTTAAGCGTTCTCTCCCACATCATCAATTTTTCTTTTCTTTCCTCGAACAGGAGACTCTTCTGCACAGAATACAATCAGTTCAATTGTACCAATTAGAAATTAATTTATAACATGTGTGTGGTAAACGAATAAGAAGAAAGATTATATATATTATTAAAATAATTCTGATTTGTATATTTATACTATTTGTTTAAGTAATTATGAAATTTTTTAGTTCCAGATAAATTATAATAATTTTTGAAAATCATACCTTCCTCTTCTTCTTGCTCATCATCTTCATTGTCCTCATCGTCATCTTCTTCCTCTTCTTCACCCATATAATCCTCTTCATCACTATCCTATATCCCGATATATATTATATATTTTTTAAACATATTTTATTAAATGTAATTAGATCATCATAATGTTATATAAAAACTTATAAAACCTACACATTGTTACGATTATATTGTGAACAATAAAAGTCTAATAAGCGAAAGATCTCGATGAACGTACTATCGAGCATGCTATAAATGGGCTTTAAGTTTCACTTTATGAATTACTTAAACGTGAAGTGAACTCACCCCAAGCTTTTCCTTATAGACAATATCTAATCCTGGATCATCATCTAGGAAATCCTCATCTTCTTCATCTGAAACTATATTTCAATATGTATATTCATCATTATTATTTTTATATACATTGACATAATATTTGTTATCGTTAATAAACATTTCTACTTGATTAAATTTTTATAATTATTACGTGATTAAGCTGTCAACTAACCTTCTTCACTGTCTTCTTCGTTGCCACCTCCTTCTCCATCTTCGTTTCCATTGACTTCATCATCCTCCCCGTCACTGTCGACTTCGCAATCATCGGCGTCATATCTGAACAGACAAAATACAATCAATCGCTTTGAGAAAATAAACGAAATAAATGACAAAGCGAAGCCAATGTATAATTTCTTACCCGTCAAGATATCGTAGACTGGGAATAAGATTGAAGACTTTCTCCCTATAATTATCCATATTTGTCACTTCATTATTGAACAAATCCAGACTCTTCAGATTCTTGAACTCTTTCTGGAATACAAAAGAATTTCGCAATAGGATTTTACTTGGCGATAGACTGATTTCAGCTTTCTATAACAAAGATATAAGATCTATAAAAACTTACCAATGGTTGTAGTGTATCAAGGTCTTTGATCTTGTTTCCACTCAAATTTAAGTGAGTCAACTTGGGGCTCGAATCGAGCAGGTTTAAACCTCCCGAAATCCGATTGTCGCTTAACTCCAACTGCACAATACAAAAACAATTTGCACTCATCATACATGAAAACAGGAAATTTATCTGATAAAGACAATTATTACTATTTCATTAAACACCTTCTTTAATATACTTCTATATTATTTCTGTTAAGTATAATTTAACTCTTGGAGATACTTTGCGATACATAAGTAGAAATATGTATATATACCTTTTTAAGGCTGGACAACTTTGGGAAGCCTTTTAGACTGGTAAGACCCACATTGATAAGACTCAATGACTCCAGAGCGCTGAATTCATTTGTCAAACCCACAATTTGCGTACTCCGGCAATTATCAAGAACAAGTTCTTTGATCTGTAACATGTAAGAATCATATAATTATTTACAACAAATAAATGACGAAGAAAGTCATATAAATATCAGAAGCAGATATCTCATGTAACTGAAAGACACCGAGAATATTAATCATGTTAAGACATTCATTAATATTTTTGAGTTAATGAGTAATAAATGACTGCGTTTGGGAATGGGTGGCGATTATCGATTCGTGAAATCATATTCAAATTGAAATCGTATTCAGATTCACACGGCTATGGAATCGGCGCGCTCGAAAGGATACGGTCAGACATAGTCTTTGTCGTAGCGGTGAGCGTTCGCGGTCGAAAAAATCGTCCTCGCTAAAATTCAAATGAGCGATAAGCTTTCGCGGGAGAGATGGGCTATTTTATTGATCGGAGAAAGAGAAAGGCCAGAGGGTGAGAGCGGGACCGGATAAGAGGACAGAGATGGCGCGGAGCGGTCGGGAAGAGTGAGGCAGGTGACGGTAAGCGTAGTGCATGCCACGTCTTGTTTAGCCGCGTCGGAAAAGCCGGCGAGCGACAAGCACGGACTGTGGCACGCGACGCCGAGTACAAGAAGTGGGGTTGGGTGGTAACAGGAGGAGGGAGGGGAGGATGAAGGGTGATCATCATCGATACCAGATGCCTCAATGCCGGAAGTATCGATAGTTCCATATCATATTATTGCGCCCATGATGTAATGAGGCAAGGTGTTACATCGCCATTGGCCTGCACTCGTTCCTCTCAACAATGGCCAATGAACAAGTCTTATCTTTTGAATTTTAAAAAGGAATACAAGCCAGGTGTTACTGACGCTGCGGTTAGATTCGTCGGAGTAGATTTTTAATTAGCTGCTTACACATCGATTCACTAATGTCACCGCCATTACGTGCGATGTTTACATCATAGGTCTGTTCTTTTTTCATATCCCAGGACTGAACGTCTTGTATGGATCATGTTCTTTTTTTCTTTGCACTTTGATGAGAAAAAAATGAACCATGCTGACCACGCAAGAAATTCAGTTCTGGAAAAAGAATAGGCTTCTCTTCTTTTTATGTGGCGATTCCGACGTTCTCTCGCAAATATGAGATTTTTTTAGATATGATATTCTGTTACATTTGATATATACATTTGATACACATGCCATGTTGATGCACCATAGATACGCGCTTTGCATGGACGAAAATTTATATACTGACGACTCATGTTCAATAAATAGAAACATAGGAAATAGAAATTTTACATATAATTCTTAACATATTATATTATTATATTTATGCTAAAGTTGTTTTAAAAATTATCAGCTTTAATTTCATCAAACTTTATTATATTATATCAATTCAAAAGTGATAGAATGTATCTGTTGCCATAAAAAAAGTTGATGCTATCAATGATCAACTCTACATTATCAATACCTACATTAATAATATTTCAAAAGAAATAATACAAAGCATCTTTATTTTTTCTTCCATTTCTTTGAATTTTATATTTGGGGATAGAATTTTTATCTCAGTTATTGATGCTCAAATTTACATTATTAATACTGAAAAAAATAACACGCAAAGTGTATCTATATTTTTTCTTAAAAAATTCTCTATTTCTCTAAATTTTATATTCTTTGGGAACAGAATTTGTTTCATTGTCAATTACCAGAAAAAAAGAAAATTGATACTGTCAATGATTAACGTTACATCAAATACTGAAGAAAGTAATATATATTTATTTTTTTTCATAAAAGATATCTATTTCTATGATTATTTTGGGAATAATTCGTCATGAATTCCTTTTCTAATCTGTACCATAATTCGCCAGCTTTATCATAAAATCAGAATTAAATTTCGCGGACAAGCATACGATATGTCTCGCATTTATTGAGATTCCCCTAATTTAATTTTGAAATTAAATTACATGCAACTTTTTCATCTCATACTCCTCCATACTCTCCTCGCCTTAGATATCTTGTGTACTCCATGCAACCAATCGGTCGACAGGTTGGCTACATGTATTTTCCGTGTTGCACCGATCGTAATGGTAACGTCACAAGGTGTTATAGGAGCGGATCAATGACAGTCGCGGATATCAAGGAAACCAGGAAGACGCGAACGTTACGTCATTCGGATTCTCCGACGTTTCGAAATGTGAAATTGCCGCGTAATTTTCGTAACAAAGATAGATATATTTTGTAATCACGCGATTACATAATAAAACGCAGTTTTGTTATCGACAAATTTTTAGTTTTTATTTTCGTCTACGATTCCGAATTGTACAAATAAAATACGTCCTTCTACGTCCTTTATTTCCAAATTCGCGCAATGTGATATTAAAATTAAACCGGAAGGCATTCCTCGATCTAAATAAACATTAACCGATACGTTTCCAATTTGGAAAATATCGCCGCCATGCTGCCGAGTGGCACGGCACTGTTGCATCCAAGATGCATTGCAAATGCAACGCGGGTGGTCAACGCAGAGTGAGTAAAGTTTCGGAGTCGTAAATATGTAAGAGCTGCTCGCGATTTTAACTAGCACGTAAACTCAACATCTGTTTAACTTATGCATTTAGGAAGGATGCTGTATAACACAGTAAAGATATTATTGTTCTTGTTCTCTTATTTCAAAATAACTATGCAAAACGTCCCGGTTCGTCTTGGCGTGATTATAATACAATAGATACATATGAAATTAAAGCGTACAGCAGAAATAGCAGCTTTGCAATTGTGTGTTGTAAAATTCTAATATGATCAAATATTAAGTGAAAATTAATCGATAAGATTAAATATACGTGAGTGAGAAATGCCATATTCGATTAGATGAGTTTTCAGGCCTAATAATAATAATATTTCTTATGAATTTGAAGTTAGTTTGAACTGAAAATTATATAAATTCACAAAAAATGTTATTAAATACAAAGAATCGCGGTCTTGGCCAAGTATAACATTTTTCACATATGTTTTTCAAATATGATTGATCTTAATTCCTCACTAAAGTCTGTATTGTTCAAGTTATAATGTCAAATTATATTCAACTTGAGTTACTTTAATCACTTTTATAGGTCGCCACTGCTTTTATTTCACATTTTGTTAAAAATAACAAAATGTTATTTGATTCAAGAGATTGGGTTGATTATTGTTCCTTTGATAACTAACAGTATCACTAACCAAGTGCGATTCCATCAGTTTAAGATTAACATTAATATCGGGTTAACTTAAATTTTTAAAATTGAAAAAAATAAAGAGTAAATTAAATCGAGAGTTAATCTTGTACCAAACCTGTAAATGAATCATATTAAAGAATCTTACAACAGTCGCAAACTGCTTTCTCTGCTGAAGCTTCGATATGCCCATAAATTTACGTGTTAAAATATTAATGATCCTGTGCGTTATGTATACCGTGACCATATTTTCTTACAGAAAATAAAAGACAAACTTGAAAATTTTAGGGCTTTATTTCTAAATATTTCCAAACTGATTTATAACTGTTAGACAACTGCGCATTCATTTTTTAAATTTTCTTGCACAGTATACTTAAGTTAATTCCCAAGTAAAGCACAAATCAAAATTTTGATATTGTGACTTTATTATTCTCTATTTGAGTTTACAATTTGTTTCCGTAAAAATTCGCCCATTAGTAGAAGTAATTAGACATTGGAATGCTAATTAGAAAGAAATTTCCTGTAATATCATTAAAATAAAGGGTAGAAAAGTAAGTTTTAAAAAATAAATAAATCTTATGGACAGAGCTATCTGAAAGACAATCCTTTACACTAAAGAATGTATCATCGTATTATGCAGAAGATAAGAAATACACATCCTACAATAGGCCATTATTTAAAGTTTTAAATCTTAAACCATAAGAAATTGATTTACAGTTACAGTCGAATGTGAGAAGAATAATTGACTTATTATGAACTTTCTACAATAAGTTATTACCCAAGTTTTAAGTTTTAAGCTAATTATCGATTATTCTTCTCACATTCGATTGTGATTGGTTAATTTCTTATGATTTATAAGACTTAAAACTTAGATAATAGATTATTGTAGAAAGCCCATTATTAATCAACTTCTTATGACTTAAGATTTAAAGTTTAGATAAGTTTAGATGGCTTATTATATAGAAAGTTCATTAGAAAAATTTTTACAAAGTTTTGAGCGCGAAAGAAAATTGCGAAATTTGTGTATTTTTTTATCGTGTCAAAATCGCTCTGACGCCACACCCTAGCTACGGCTCTGCGGACGCCTACGCGTTCCACAGAGAAACGCGAACGTGGCGATGCACCTGAAGAAAGTCGGGCAATGCCGGCTGACATCGGCCGAGCAGGCAGCTTCGATTCGGCTCGACTCGGCGATGCGACGTGACGTTACATTACGTTACGTCGCGCCGTTACGATGAAAAAAATTCGTTCGTCGTGGCCGCGCGTGCCACTCGGCGGTCGGATCAGCCGGCAAAGTGGACTCGTCCAAGATGGCGGCATGGTGATTGGCGGCGCGTCATGAAACGCGATCTGGTGCGCACGGCAGTGATTTATGCTTGCGTGTGTGCGTGCGTGCGCGCGCAAGCGGCTACGCACGCAATGGCACGCACGTCACACACGTGGGAAGGTAACGAGGTGCATCGCGCGATCGACGCGAGTTGACGTCGCAATGGAGGGTTCCCTCGAGTGAAGAGGCGTCCCGGCGCCACTCTGCGATGCAATGGCGACGTCCAGTGGAGGTTGCCGCGTGCACGCGCCTCGCTCATGGCGGCGCGCGCGCGTCTCGCCGTTTCATTTACATAACGCGGCCGCTGCCGACGCGACGCGCGCGCAACATACGCTTTTCGCGCGATCAGGATTGGTGGCGACGCCTCGATGTTAAAAAATACATTAATCGAGTAAACATATGTTGCGTTAATTCTTATTTTACACGTATCACGTATGATCTGTATGATCGTGATTAACGTGACGTATCGAAAGAGAGAGAACACGATCGTAGGAAGTCCAAAAAAAAAGGTTCTGTTCAGCGACAGAATTAAGCCATACGATACTCTTTTTTTTTGCTGGATCGCTCGCGTTTAGTAAATTACTAGAATTGCATCACAGAACGCAAAATTTCTAGTAATTTATTGAAACGCAAGCAATCCAGCAGGAAAACGTGCATCGTGTGCCGCAGGCTTTACTTAGGTTGCTAGCTATTCGTTTAAATTCTATCAGCTTCTATGGATGCTTTCCATTTGATGACACAAATGCCACTCTGTTTTTGTTGTTCGTTGTATGTCACGATAAAATAATATCCGGTCGATTTGTGTCACTAAATGGAAAGCATCTTCTTATGTCTTTCGACATTTAACGAGGAAACAAACGCTTTTTTTGACATTAGAAAGTTTCTCCACCAGCTGCGCCATCGCCAGCAAGTGTCCTATGCACTTTAACGCGCATCGATGACAAAATGTCAATGGGTGTTAAGTCGTCGAAGCGATGCTTACGTCGATATTTTTGAATTGACCGAAAGTACGGAGCACCGTTAGTAGGTTTCGATATGTCGAAGCAATAATATTAAGAACGCTCAAAGCTTCTAGTCTGTACGTTTTGGCGCTCGCTCGGGAAATGCAACACGTCGTGGCAGCCTTTTTATACCGATCGATGTCGCAAATTGCAAAGATTCCCGGGAACGATCATTATCACTGAGAGCAGTGTCACACCTTTATTATAGTCATAGAAAATTGCACATACTTTACTTAAATATTAACTTGTTTCAAATATTTCAAAAGTTCTCAAAATATATCTGCACAAATCTGTTACAAACACCAAATTTACTCAAAGTACATTCTAAAATACATTCTAGCAAGCTTCGAAGCTTAAACTTTAATCGAGACTATTGAATTAGGACAAATTTTAATTATTATATATATGTTTCGATAAAATCTTTTCTTCGATGATGACATTTTATAACGTTCTTCAAAAAAAAATAAATTATTGTTTTGAGAACATGAGTTGAAGAATTTTTCTAAAATTTGTAATAAGTATATTTGAAGATTATTATGAAAAAAATATTCTTTGTTAAAAAAAATAATTTTTTGAGACATTAACTTAAAAGAAAAAAATAAACTGAGTAATGACTTTTCTCAACAGTAGAATATGTTTCTGTGTGCAAGAAGAGTGCATTTCGAAAACAAGTTCTTGTGTGAACGTGTGTGTAAAAAACATAGAAAATAAAGAAAAAATATATTTGTATAAAAGAAAAAAAGAACTCCAAAAATAATAAAATAATAGATCGAACTTTAAGTTAATTAGCGTTAAAATAAATTTAATTATAAAGTATAATTAAACATAATTTTATTAAAAATATCAATTAAGAAAATATATTCAATCTCAAAAAAAGATTTAATATCATCTATGCATACAATATATTCTTGTAATTCTAAATTTAGCATGAATATAATTTAAAATTATTAAACATCTCTATATTTAAGGCACTGAAAAGTTACAAAGTTTACGAAGGTTTCCAAAGAAATGAGTTATAAAATATTAATATAAAGAAACATCGAAAGAAATAATAACAAGTTCGATTCGAAGTTTCGATACTTGAGAAACATACAGGACATCTAAATCATTCTCGATTTCCTTGCGTAAATCGATTCGATTTATAGTGCGACAAATCGGCGAAAAATATTTTATAAGTCATTTCTATTAATTGACATTTAACGAATGTATCGTACATTTCTATTAGAAAATTTGAGATACAATGTTTAGTTCTTTGCATAATCATGTTTAATTGATGGACACGGTCGTAACCATTAATGGAGAATTTGACGCGCTTGGTCCGCAGTGAAATCCACGGAAAATCCATTATCCAAGTATTTCACTGATTAACTCTAATCACATTTATGGCACCACATCGGCGCTCTGTCTCTCAATTACATTTGTTACCATTAACGCTCGTATACACGAATAGTTCACGGATATTCAAACGATTGATTTTACAAATTTGTTCTAAAAATATACCATTTCGCGCGGACTGACTTAATTTAATTAACTTATCTCCGTGACGTCACGACGATTTTCGTTTCACGTATTTGAACAACGTATATACATACGTGTATATATATATATATATATATCACCAGGTTACATAATTCAGCGTACCGATTTAAGCAGATTGATTTCCAAGTAGTAACAAGCGATACAATTAAACTTGGGACAGCGGTACAATTTTTTACACAATCATGTGTAAAGTGATTCATTCTCAGACATCTTGAAATTGATATTTATTGGAGTGTATAATTTAGCATTTATGTATGCAAGTTTTATCGAATTTTACACTCGTGCTCTCGTAAGAAATTCCGTAAAATTTGTTTTTCTCTACATAGAAAAGATATTAAGAGACGTATTCATGTTTGCGCGTTCATTGTTAAATACTCGTCACAGCGAGAAATTAGACTCGGACCAATCCTGGATTTGGGTGTCGACCTGTTCACATATGTGTATCAAATACATATGTCGGGTAAACGCCGGAAGGAGATTCTACGTGAAACTACAATTACATATAGTACATAATACACACTCGATGTATTTATCTTGAATTATAATTGTGTTTGTGTATACATACACATATATATATATATATATATATACACATTCTGCGCAGTACGCACAATGCCGAGACGCTTTATTAGAACGTTACGTTAGAAATGAAATCGCGCGATACTGGACGCCGCCGGTTCATTAATGCGAAAGTAAAGTCTCGCGGCGAGAGAGAAACGAGGATCCGTCTTCATTTATATTACAGGCAACGCTATCATCCGGAAAGAGGCGGAGAATCAAGCTCTCGATCAATCGTGTCCGCGGGTAAAGTCGACCGACGACAACGACGACGTTGGCGAGAATCCACCATTAATCACATCGGCGGCGCGGAGAAGCGGCCGGTGTCGCGCGCGCGTCAGAGACGCGCGTGTGCCTCTTCCCGCTTTCCACGCCACCGGAAAAATGGTAACTCCTCCGAGAGTCCCTCGTGTGCGTGTGTATGCGTCGCGCTCGCGCTCGCGCGCCAACGTAACGAATAACGAAATCTCTCCCCGCGTCACCGTCACGGGCGATAAGAGAATAAGAGAGCGGCGGGCGGCGCGGGCGCGCATATAGGTATACACAGCCGTGCGGAAGAAGCAAATCGGGTTGCGCATGTAGCTGCAACGTGAGCGTGAAACGTTCTCGTTTCTTCCAATGACCAAACACTTTCAGCTTACTTCGGCGGGGCGCGCGAAGAAAATTTGGAGGAATTGGAGGACGCGACGCCGATGTCGCTGATGCCGATCGCGCGCTAAGGCGCGCTTGCTCGCAATGCTCGCAATGCCGACACGATACGATACGATACGGCACGACACGCCACGCCGCACCGCGTCGCCGAGAGCAACAAAGCGAAATGAAGCGTAGTCGCCGTGAGCTGCCGCCCGCAAATTAAGTGGCAAGGAAGGAAGGAAGGAAGGGAAAGAAATGGAGCAGTCCATGGGAGAGAAACTTGCACACGCGGAGCTACGTTTCTTTTTTTATTCGCGAGAGAGGTAGAGAGTGAGCGAACGGAATTGAGAGAGAGAGAGAGAGAGAGAGAGAGAGAGAGAGAGCTCCTCGGCGGTGCGCCATGCTCGTTGCTTGTTCGCGGCCATGTATATGCCGTCCTCCGGTCGGCAAAGAGGCTGATGATGGGACGGCCACGCGGCCATCCGTCGTCGAAACGAAATTCTTCCGAATCCGAGAGAAAGAGACGGAAGTATGAGCAACGGACGGCCTGCCACATTAGCGAATAGCGAGTGCATGGTTATTGTGTCGCTGCCGCAAAGCGTCACAGGCAACACGGCGGCGAGTCTTGTCTTCTATTTCTCTTTCTTTCTCTCTCCTTCGCGAGACATGATAAACGCCGCTATTTAACACGATCGTACGGTATTCATGAATTTATTAGGTTTCCAAAGGTTTCCAGAGGACGATTGATGACGAAATGATGACACACGAGGACGCATGGTTGAAATTTCATGACGCATGGAGTAAACGCTGGTAAACGCACGTTGGCCCACGACGCGTAATCCACGTAATAAAGAGACGGCGTGCGAAAATGCAGAATGTCCAAGTCGAAAAGAGACACAGACACAGAGATTACAGTACACTACAGAAAGAAACATGCGGGAGGAAACTGGAAAGTGCAAACTGCAAGGGTACAAGAGATAAAGATTGGAGACAGGCCGAGGCCGAGGCCGAGGCCGAAGCAGTTAGCAATTAATAGTTAGCAGTAAAAGAAATGTGAGGGTTGTCTTACGTCGCCGGGCTTCCTTCCCCGCTTCTCGAGCTCTATCCGCTTCTCCATGGCCGGCAGTCGGTCCCCGATCCGCTCGTTCTCGCTTCGCTCCGTACCGCGTACGTATCGGCCGTTCCGTCTCTATACTCTCTTCCTCTCCTCCGCCTCCTCGTTGCGTCGCAACACCAACTACGTGCCAGCAACCTTGTTCTCTCTCTCTCTCTCTCTCTCTCTCTCTCTCTCTCTCTCTCTCTCCCCCTCACACACACCAACACACACACACTCCCCCGCTCTGGCGAACAAAAATCCGACGAGCGAGCTTTCTCTCTTTCTCTCTCTCTCTCTCTCTCTCTCTCTCTCTCTCCCTCACACACACAAACACACACACACACTCTCTCGAGTTGGAGAGCCGGGAATATAATATGACGGACGGACACGGCCGAACCAACACGGTCGGTCACCGGGCAGTGCGCGGACAGCGAATGCCACCCGATGTTTGCCTGCAGTGCGTAGCGTGCCCGCTTGACGTGTGCGTGTGCGTCGCGCCGCGTCGCGCGTTCTCTTCCGTCCAGGCGTGCTTCGAAGACACAGCGACCGAGAGAACAGAGAAATCACCTCCGACACTCGCTCCCGTTCGATTCCGATCCGTTAAGCCCTTTACGCGCCGCGTCTCTATGCTCGCCGACTCGCCGGACTTATGTGCTATGCTGTGCTGTGGACTGTGGTGGCGGTGTCCTCCTCTCTCTCTCTCTCGTCACCCCCTCCCCTCCCCGTACCTCCCGCTATTCCAAAGTACTCCACACGCAACACAACACAAGCCGCACCGGAGGCGGGAAACGAGACACATGTCTGGCACTACTTTCGAAGCGACCAATCCGAACGGCTGGCACAGACCACCGTGCGCCACCTGTCGGCCGTCGCGTACAACCTTCGTTGAAGCGCGCCATACTTTGGCGCGTTCAAATATGGCTGCTACGTATCGTAGCGTCGCTAATCATTAAAAATAAATTTACAATGTCGAGACATCCTGTGACAATCTATTTTGTAATAAAAATCTACAAAAATCGCTATTACTGAGCTGATTAGCGAAAGAATTACAATTATCTTTATAATTATTCTTAAACATGCATGCTAATTATTATAGGTAAAAAAACTATCGATATTCAGGAATTATCCAGACAATCTTGCATATCAATGAAGGAAATTATCCAATTGCATATTTTATGTTTGGCATAATTGAATAATCTTTTTGTATATAATTAATAGCTGTTGAACAGCTATCAATGTAAATTGCGATAATAATATGATTATATAACAAAGTTATATAAAAATTATATAGGATGTTTAAACAGATTGCTAGAATATTAAAACTTTTTGCAGAATCCATTATAATTCATATTTTATAATATTTCTACGTAATTCTTCCGTGCATGTGCATATGTACAGAAAAAACGAACGATTTAATTCCTACACAAATTTAACTATAAACAGATCTAAAAATAATTTTATTATCAAAATAATTACGTAAAAATCTTAAGTATAATGAACAATTTTGTACAAAGCTTTAATATATATTTAAACAATCAAAGTTTGAACATCCTACATTATTTTTCTTTTATTTGTATAATTCTTATCCATTTGGTACTCTTATTATTATTACTGCTATTACATAGTTAGGCGTTTATAATAATTATAGTTATACTGAAGTCTTACGCATATTCATATTTTTTCTTTCTTATAACTTTATTCGTAAATTTATTCGTATACAATAAAATTTAATTTAATTAATTATTTTGATAATCAAACAAAATTATTTTCAGATTTATTTAAATTTTTAAATATTTCAGAAAGATCATTCTTTCTATATGTGGGAAATATAAAAAAATTAAGCGATAAAGATATTAAATTACGTCCTAAGAAGACTGAGCTTACATTTTATTTTAATATATAAAACTGTAACAGCTGTTTAGCTATAGCTATTTAGTTTTAGCAGCTATCAATGCAAATTGTGTTAATTTATTTCAAGTCTAATAGTCATAATATTGGAATGCCTAGATACGATGTATTCAGTCTAAAAAAGACCTAACAAGTAGAAGGCATTAATGTCTTCATGCATTATCATGGTTGTTTTATAGTTATCGCAATTGTAATTTGCGTGGCAAATCACCATTTTGATGATGTAATGACGTTACATTGAGAAAATAAGTGTAAAAAGGAATTAACGAATTAACAGATCCAATTTTTTTTACATAGAAAAAATTTAGTAATTTTAAATATCTTCAACCATATTAATTTAAAGCCATAGATATAAATTAATCGTTACTTTTCTTAGATAATTGGCGGATCTGATAACGTTGTATACAAAATAAAAACATTATCAGAAAAAGCTTTAGTTTTCTGAATTAGAACTATTGAAGAATTTATGGTTGAACTATTATTCATATTTTCTCCTGAATAATCATCAACCCCACGAAGAATAATTGTGCAAAAAATGCAGATTATATCATATATATTATAATTCAGTACTGTCCATTAAGATTTGTAATTGTCGGTATTAACTTGATGTGTATTGACATTCATATTTGTCATATTTATTTTCTATTTTCGATCTACTTTTATTAAGAAAAAAGAAAGCAACAGGCGTGAATGCTGTTAAGTCAACATGCCCAGAATTATAAATCTTGTAGCATTATTGAATAATTTAATTGTACAATATTTATGTATTAGGTGTTGGAATTAATTCGTAGCGTTTTTAATGAAAGAATGTTATTTATTTCACATGAGCATTAAAAAATACATTAATGAAAGTACTTCCCATCACTTGTAAAACGCTACGAATTAATTCCAACACCTAATATTATTTTACATAATATTCATGTATTATATTAAATAAAAAAGTATGCAACGTGATTACGTTTCCTAGATATCCCTTGAATATTTTTACGATAAAAAAACTTTTACGACTCTAATTTCGAATTTTATTTGAATCCTACGTGTTCAAAATGCATTACCGACGAAGCGATTAGAGTTCTAAAATTATTAACATATGTAATCGTGCATTCATCGAAAGAGATTAATCAAAAACCATAGGTAACCAGAAAGATGCAACTATACTTTCCACATTTTTATTTTAACAAAATTTTAGACTTAGTCTTAATAACATTATAATTTCTTTTTTGTACGTAAATTAATTGCCTGCCTATCATTTGAATTTTAATTATGCATTGAGAAAATTTTCTAGTTATAAATGGACGAATCAGAAAATTTTTATCATATCAATCAGATGGTTATTCTGATGATTATCTCAATTAGAATTATAATAAATTGAAAATTCTGATTTATCTAACCGGCCCGTGCAGCAATATCGTTGCAATAACACTGTAATATTGCTGCAATGTTGCAGCATTGTTGCTGCAACTTTTGTGCTGTAGGGGAGAATTCCAATTAATGCAACCAGATTCTTTTTCCAGTGTGCGTATAATTCATCTAATATAAGGATTATAACGTGATAAAACTTTTCTTTTCATATATATTTCACGGATTTGCGAGAAAAACAATTCATAGCCGCGAGAGGTATATTGGCGCAAACTCGAATTTTCAAATTTTTGTCAATACATAAGTTAGAGGCGCAATCTTATCGCGTTTTATATCGCGTATCGCTTCCAGGTAAAAGCATCCAGTGAAATCGATATTCGTTTTTCGCTCATATCTCGATATTCAAATGCAAGCTCTGAAGCCGTTTTTATTTCAAGATCATCTTAAGTAATCTAAAGTCTTAAGATACTAATATATATATATAATACAAAAATTCTTTGATTAGCTTATTATGACATCTTAAAACGCAGCGTCAAATATAAGAATTATCAGTTATAAATAGTGTGAGATTCCCGCGTACGTCGGAAATTTTTGTCAGCTTCTTCGCGGAAGTCAAGGAAAAAGAAAAGAAGGGAGGAAAGATCATCTCACGCTCTCGCACAACGTTCTTATTCATTTTTGTTCGACTCTCGCACGACATTGAGCTTTCGGCTTCAAATCGGTCGCGCGCCGTCGAGCCTCCGGGAAGATTCCAACGCGATACGCGTCGCCACGTTTGTGGTGATTCGTCGCTGCGGGTGTCGGACATACCGGCGAAAGGTTGAGATCAATATGCGCTCATTGATTGCATCGTGGCTGCGCTGTCGCGTCCTCCTTCACGGCGCTAATACCGTCACGTTCCTTAATGTTTCCAGCCCGGTTGACATTGAAACTCCCCGATCTCTATATCGGTTAAAATCGGTTCTCTAATAACGGCCCTGATGGTGTCGCGTCTCTGGGAACGTGTATTGTGGAATTGTTCAAAATGAATTCCACAATCGGAATCATTTTATTTCTCCTAGAAAACACAATAAAAATCTGGGAACTAATTATAAACAATTCCAATTGGAATAATTTCATATTAACACGTACCCTGATTTAATTTCTCGAATTCGATCGTTATTCTGTAAGGTTACTACGCATGAAATTATCGCGACTGCGAGCGAGATACAAGTTTTGACTGATAAAACAGTCGATAATTTTCCGCTAGATAAAATGCGACAATCGGTTTCTTTTTCGAGGCCGAATAAAATTTATATTTTTCATTTCTCCTTTTTTCTTTTTCTGATATTTAATATCTGTTTAATTTCAAGTGTAAAAAGCACAATACAGGGTATAGTACAACTCAAATAAAGATACAAATATCAATATTTCATTAGTCAAGATGTTTGTACTTTAGCTAAATTTTCCTTTTATTTTCCTCTTTTTTAATTTAGATTGAGAATTATTCATCTATTTGAAGTGTAAAAAGTGTAACGTAGTGCAGCTACAAATATAAATTTTAGGCTCAGTTTTTTGGCTCAATTCCACCAAAGTAAGTATAGTAAAGTAAGTATTAATCTTTTTCTAATTCTTAGAATTAAAAAATAATCAATAAATCTTAAAATTATAAAAAAATAAAGCATAAATTGAATCGAAATTAAAGTTAATTTTATATCAAGGAAAATAATAAGAGTCAAAGTATATAATAATTAATCAATTGATATGACATCATTGATCGATTATTAATGAATTTGTCATTTTTATCATGATCAGTCAATATATATTATTTTGACTTTCTTTCTTCTCTTTAGAATTGGTGAAACCGGGCCTTTTATATAATTTAAATAACTTAATTCGCAGTGATCTCCAATATATTGTCTGATCCACAAATCTATCCCTTTCAGAGCTTCTTATTTATATTAATAATTCTTC